GCGTGGGGAGGAAGCAGTGGCTTAGACCATGCCACGTGTCACATAAAGATCACTCCAAAAACTAATTTACTTTTAAAATCTGTAACTTTCGCATACTAGATCCATGTTTGATGTTCTTTATATCCACACATTGGCGGAGACGTAATCTAGAACTTTCATTTAGACTCTGTCGGCTAATTTTGACTTTATTTTTAAAGTTATATTTTAACAGGCCTAGATAGGTAAAGTCCGTTAAGAATTCATAACTTTGTCATCAAACGTCTATTTACATCTGTCTTTTTTATCATTGAGCTCCTATTAATGAGATATTTGATTCTCATTTGGGTTGTGTCAGCTAAAAATCGGTCGATCTAAAATCCGAATTCCAAGCTGCATACTGTTATGCCAAATCTTAAAAAAATCATAACTTCTTCATACGAAGTCAGATTTCGGCGTTCTTTTTATGCAAGCTCTTGGTTTAACGTATACTACGACTTTCATTTTGATTTCTAAGGCTTAAAAGTATTTTATCATAAACTCACTTTGTACGCCACACAGCGTCGTGTCGGTTTTGTCGCGAAACTTCGACAAGTCATAACTTCTTCGTTATAACTCAGATTTCGGCGTTCTTTATATCTCTAGAATCCTTTTCACGACCATTACAAATTTATTCATGGATATTGGGTTTATCTATTATTTTGTTTTTGATGCTTATTTTAATTCTTAATTTATTATATCTTATAATTAAGTAAAAAATGCACATAAAATCATATAATTCACATAATATTCAAGTAATATCTATTTATTACTTCAAAATAGGTTACAATTGTTGACCCTAAATATTACGTCATCGTACTAATGCTTAGCCTAGAAACACAACCGTTTCAATTCTCTCCTCCTTAAGATGATTCCGTCCCGGAATCATGCATCAGCAAATAAATGTGGATAGCGACTCATCGTACCACTCTCTGTTTCCTAGGTGAGGGTTGGCCCATTCGTATGTTTCCATCCCACAAGCACTAAGTCGACCATCTTGCATCGTAAATTATTTGTCTTACGGTTAACAATTGCCTCAGGCTCTTCGATTAGCCTCTTAATTTCATCCATTGTTAACTCCATAAGTGTAATTATATCGGCACTTCTCCCATGAATTTCCTCAAATAACACACATGGAAGGTGTTATCAATACCATCTAATTATTTTAGTAGTTCTAGCTTGGAAGCTTGGTTCCCAATTCACTGAAAAACTTGGAACGGTCCAATAAACCTTGGAGTTAACTTTCCTCTCTTTCCGAATCTTATAAGTCCCGTCCACGGTAAGACTTTGAGTAAAACCGAATCTCCAACTTCGAATGTCATCGGTCGTCGTTTCTTGTCAGCATAGGTCTACTGGCGATCTTGAGTCGCTAACATTCTTTCTCTAATCACTTTTAAATTTTTAGTAGTCTGATGGACTATCTGGGGCCCCATAAATTTCTTCTCTCCACCCTCAAGCCAACAAGACGGCGTACGAGACTTCTGTCCATACAAGGCTTGATAAGGTGCCATCTTGATGTTCGAATGGTAAGTATTATTGTAGAAAAACTCTACCATGGGTAAATGCTCATCCCAGTTACCTTGGAATTCTATGGTACATGTTCTTAGCATATCTTCCAGTGTTTGAATCGTTCTTTCGCTCTGACCATTAGACTGTCGATGGTAGGCTGTACTTAAACACAATTTCGTACCCATTTCCTCTTGTAGGCTTCTCAAAAACCTTGATGTGAAACGACTATCATGATTTGATACAATTGTTAAAAGAACATTGTGAAGTCTTACTACCTCCTTAACGTAAGCATTTGCAAGCTTATCGATAGACCATCTCTCATTGGCTGCTATGAGGTCTGCACTCTTTGTGAAATGATCCTTGACCGTTCTTCATCCTGGGCAGTTTAGTCACAAAATCCATGGTGATGTCTTCCGATTTACCCATGGGTACAGGTAAAGGTTCTAAAATCCCATAACGTTTCTGATGTTGTGATTTAACTCTCGCACAAGTCACACACCCTGCCACGTACTTTCCACCATCCAGTTTCATCGTTGGCCACCATTAGTAAGGTTTCAGATCCCTATACATCTTAGTGTTGTCAGGATGAAGCGAGTACATGGTCTTGTGAGCTTCTTTCATCAGCAGATTTCTTCTTGCACCCATCTTAGGTACCCAAATCCTATCTTGGAATACCTTCAATCCTTGATTATTCGTACCAAACACCAATGTTTTGCTCAAATGTTCTTCCTTTCAGTCATTTTTCTCTAAAGCTTCTTCCTGAGCTTTCTTGATGTTTTCCACAATTGTTGAGACAACTTCTATTATTAACGCTCTCGGCCTTTTTCTTACCATGTTTACTTTTCAACTTAGATCATCCGCTACAACATTTGCTTTACCAGGATGGTAAAGTATCTAACAGTCGTAATCTTTGAGTAACTCTAGCCAGCGTCGTTGTCTCATATTCAATTCCTTCTGATTAAAGAGATGCTGGAGGCTCTTAAGATCAGTGAAAAGTTTTCACTTCGTGCTGTAATGATAATGCCTCCATAACTTTAAGGTGAATACTACCTCTGCCAACTCCAGATCATGAGTGGGGTAGTTCTTCTTGTGCTCTTTCAATTGTCGAGATTCATATGCTATCACCTATATCTTTGGGTCAAAACACAACCTAACCCAACTCCAGATGCATCGCTATAGACTGCGAAGTCTTCAACTCCATCACGTAAAGAAAAAATTGGTGCTTCACACAACTTCTTCTTTAGTTTCTCAAATGATTCTTCGTCTTTCTCACTCCATGTATATGTAGCTCCTTTATAGATCAAATCTGTCAATCGAGCAGCTATCAAAGAAAATCCTTAGATAAACCTTCGGTAATATCCAGCTAATCCCAAAAAGCTACGAATCTTAATGGGACTTTTTGGTTGTTTCCATTTCATCCACTACTAGAAAACAACCCTTTAACGACACCCAAACAATGACACGCGCTGATAGAGGACACGCATTTGTACGTGTCCTAAAAAATAATGTTAGTTTTCTAAAATTTGAAGGATAGAGGACACGCATTTTTGCGTGCCCTAAAATAGTTTCCAACAAAAAAACACACGGAGGGCACCAATCATAAAAAGCGTGTCGTGTAAATGTGTCGTTTTATATTTTTTTAGAAAGGCGTGTTCTGTTTTTTAACAGCCCATGGGGGGAAATGAAATCCCAAAAAATTAAACACCCCGCCTGATGCATCTCATTCTTTTCCTTATAAAATCCTCTACCAAAAAACCCTAATAATTCTTTAAGCAGTTCGTTTTCCTCTCTCTTTCTCTTTCTCTTTCTCTCTCTCTCTCTCTCTCTCTCTCTCTCTCTCTCTCTCTCTCTCTGCAAGCCCTAAGCCACCACCATTAGCATCGAACCTCATAAGCTTTAAGATTTCGAATTACCTAAGCAAAAACTTCCACCATCTCACGATGTCGGTTCAAGATCGCCATGCCACATTGCAGTACACAATGTCATCATCTTCTCCACAAACCGCCGTCAACGGCGGAGAAAACGAACGCGACTGGGTCTAAAACGAAATCAAAGCCGAAGTTCGTTGTAACGCCAAATCTGTACCAGCCCTCTCCAGTTACCTCTACTCCACCATCATCTCCCATTCATCTCTCACAAACACTCACTCACTCTCTCTCTCTCTCTCTCTCTCTCTCTCTCTCTCCATTTAGGAAACAAACTCTGCTCCTCTACCCTCCTCTACGATCTTTTCCTCAACACCTTCTCATCCAACCCATCTCTCCTCTCCTCCATTGTTTCCGACCTACGCGCCGCCCGTCAACGAGACCCTGTCTGCATCTCCGTCACTACAACAGGTAAGAGATCATCATTAAGCTTCATATGCGTCATTCATTTACACCGTACAATTGCTTGAAGCTGAAGTACATACGATTTGTTCCGTATGGAATATACACTCCGTTCCTGATTATCTCCATATGGAAATAGAATTCAGATCAATAATGTTTTGAATTTCATAACTGATTTTATTTTCTATTTTCTGTCGTTAGGGATTGGGGGAAACAAGTTTATTTAGGCGGATTTGAAACTGCCCTGGTTGCAGCTAGGTTAGAGATAGAGTTCCTTTTTACAAATATTATTAGAGTTTAATTTACGTTTGTTCCCACGAAACATTAACTTTTTACTCTAGATCATGTTTACAAATTAAAACATAATTGCTTCACCAGTGGAAATTGATGCTAATTAGCTCAATTTTGTGAGCGGGAATTAATAATTTGACGATTATGTGAGGTTTAAGGTACTAATTTCGGATTCACATTCAACCTGTTAGGTTTTTGAGATGTGCAAAACAATTTTAGGCAAACATTATCACAATGAATCGTTAGTTGCTTAATAGTGTTGTTGGGTTAGTAGTTCATTCTTGAAATGATGATACAAACTTTTTCAGTCTTCGTAAAACTTACTTCCATAGATTTCTTGCTTGTAGATAAACAATGTGGGGACAAACATTAGTAAACCTACTATAGAACTGTATTCAATTCTCATGGCTACTAATTTGGAGTCTTCTTACCATTCAAATTGTTACTTATTTAGGAAGCCAACTCTATACACATCACTTGATCCATCCCCTGATCAGAAATACATTTTACTGGTATGCATACTTACTTGAAACCCTTGATCAATTGGTACAGTAGAGAATGAATGGTGTTGTAAGTTCTTATATAATAAGTAATTATATTATATTTTGGTAAAGGTTGGAGACACAAGATGTTGGTGATGCCAAAGTATAAGTTTCACCTCATGACATGTAAGTAAAGTCTTATCAGTCCATTATGCATCGTATTCCTTAACATTTGAATATGATATAATATGTCACAAAGAGATTACTTTTGATAATTGATTTTGTTGGCTCATGTGTTTGATGTTGTTGACTCATGCAATTCTTGAATAATTAATGTACAGGTGCATATAGCTTATGCTCCATTTATCGAAAGATTTCAGCCATATTTGTTAGAAGGTATGGCCATGGCAATTCCAGTGTTGTGAGAGCCTATTAACAAATAAACAAACCACTTGACAGATTAATCAATTGAAAAATAAAAGCTAAAAAGAACATGTGAAATGGGAGAATATACAGACCTTTTAGAGTGACTTCATAATTTTCCAAGTTGAAGGTGCTGTTGACTAATGGATGTGTGGTCAATGCCATGGATAATGACTTTATTAACATGGGAAGGAATGTGAATTTAATATCTGGATCAGTATTCTCTTTCTGGAAAGCTAATTTAAGTTTCATAAGCCCATCACATTTTATTTCTTCCACATAATGAAAATGAGGAACAATAGCAGCTGTAGTAATTGACCTAACCATTGCACGCTGATAAGCCCTAACAACAAAGAACTTCACAACTTTAATAACATGTTTACTTCAATCAAATCCATGAAATTGTTTAGTGTTTATATAATAATAATAATACCTTTGAGAGAATATCTTATCATGATAAATTGATTCATCCATCTCTTGAAGTTGTTCTTCAGGTCCAAACATGGGTTCGATAAAAGTAGGATTAAAAGAAGGTTTGTCATCAATAATTCCTTTTTCTACACCATATTTTAGAACATCTTCTTTCAATATTCTTCCATGTTTACCACTTCTAGTGACATCAGCTAAATCAATACCATGTTGCTTTGCAAGACTTCTAATAGCAGGGGTGGATAAATTGTCATTTGCATGACTCTTTCTGAGCTCTAGCTTGTGTTCATCAGACTTTGATCCATCAAAAAGTACTGATGCATCAGAGTCATTAAATGGAACAGCAGAATCATCAACCACCAACTATAATAGAGTTTCTCCAACCTGAAATCAAAGTCAAATCAAAATTACTTTACCATATATATGGAAATTGTTAATACTACTACCAGTGTTTTACCTTTATAATGTCACCAGGAGCATGCAGAATCTTGGACAAACCATTTGAGGAGTTCACATTCTGCAATACCTTCACTAGTTTGTGCTAAAGGTACATCTATAATACGACCATCGTGTTGACTATCCTCTCCATTACTTGAAAAGTAGTGCCCCTTAACATTGTACAGTTTGTTCAACTAGATAGTTAATACAACCAAATCATTACCTTTTGTGATCATTGTATGAAGTTTTATCAAGATTCATATGAAACACCACTAATTTAATGGAATACACCCTTTTTCACACAGAAACATGTAAAAGTTCTCAAAATTACAACTGTTGTCTTAGTTTCTGATGTATGAATTAATTTGACTTAGTGTAATATACATGGAGATTTGTTAAAGACTTAATTTGACAATTGTTAGGTCACGGGTTGGTGAAGTCTTTTTAATTTGACCTGAAACCCGGAACCCAGAGGTTTGTTTATTCAGTTACTCATCAAAATGGTTCATGTACACCACATGATGATATATTATCAATAAATCAAGATAATAATAATAATATTAAAACTTCAGTTACTCCATTAGGCAGCCTTTCATCACCTTCACCTATGATGGATTTATTAGACATATTTGGTCCTACCCCTCCACCACCTAGTATATTTATTTATTTACTATTTTATAATAAATTTTGGAAAAAAAAGTTATTTTTTTAGATTATTCAGTTGCATTTGGAACTTGCTAGCAGTAACTCTCTTCCTGCAAAAGTTAACAGCTCAATAACACAAAAATTACGAGTTACCAACACTCAACATGGCAAGGTAACTATAAATAAATCATCATGGAATGAAATGTTTGTGTGTTTTTTTTAAATATTGTTTACATGATGAATGTTGATTGTTATGGTAGAAAGCAATCATTATGCGCATACGAATAAGTTACAAGTTGAACAACAAAGACATGTTGGAAGAAAGACATCCCTCGTGAGATATGATAACATTTTTCGCTCTCTTCTATCACCATCTGTTAGTGTTTATATTTGGGACAATGTTATTAAATATTATTTGTATCTTTGTATTCCCATGTTCTTAGGTCCAAATCATGGATATTTGAATTTGTTGATTTTGGAGGTGAAATGAGACAAGATATATGGTGCTAATAAAGGTAAGACAAGGGCAACAAATTATTCCATTAATGAAATTAATCACTTGCAATTGTGATTGTATTCATTACATATGGATTCAATACTTAGCTAAGTTGACCTAGCATTTTATTCTTCTAGGTTCACTTAATCAGTTCTTGTTTTTGTCGTAAATTGTAAATTGTAATTCAGGGTATTCTTGGTCCATGTGCATCACTTGAGAAGGTTCATATAGTATTTTAAAGAAAGTTGACTCTTTGTTGACTGATTATTGTTTTTTATGCAGAAAGGTGCTTTATGTTCTGATACTAGCATTGGTCAAGGGGGTAATACTACATGCAAGGTGCTTCAATACACACTTTCTTACAGCAATGTACACAAATTAACTAAGGAAATAGCAATGTAGTACTAGGTTATATAGTTAGGGAAAACCTCTTAATAATAATGTACAAATATTTGTCTACTCTTTGAATGATTATTTGTATGAAAATAAATTTTATGCAATGGATTGTATTTTTTGTATATGGTATTTTATTTTCTATCATGAGACATTAAATGCAAATTTAATTTGAAAATTAGTAAATCTATAAATAATATTTTTTTTAACATTTAAAATTATGATACGCAAAATATGTGTCATCTTCATTTATGACATGGCCTTTCTTGACAGGGGCTTCCTTGATATGCATTGCGTGTCATAAACACACGCGTCGTAAGGTTACGACACGAAAATGCGTGTCGTCTTCTTTTATGACATGGCCTTCCTTGATACGCATTGCGTGTCATAACCGCGCATCATAAATGCACGTCATAAATGCGTGTCGTAAATGCGCGTCTTCTGTAGATGACGCGCAAAAGCGTGTTGTCTCTCTTTATGACAGGGCTTTCCTTGACGCACATTTGCGCATCGTCTGAGCGTTTTACGATGCACAATGAGTGTCATAAAAGGCTGTTTTTCTAGTAGTGATCACAACTTTCAACCTTTGCTGGCTAAACCATTATTCATTCTTGGTTAAGCACACGACCCAAAAATTGGACTTCTCGAATCCAAAAATCACATTTGGAGAACTTTGCATACAGCTTCTCCTACTTTAAAACTTCTAACACTTCTCGTAGGTGCTTCCTATGCTCCGACTGGCTCTTTGAGTAAATCATAATGTCATCTATAGATACTATCATGGATTTTTCGAGGAAGGGTTTACAAACCCTGTTCATCAATTACATGAATGTTGCTACAGCATTGGTTAGTCCAAATGACATAACCATGAACTCATAGTGTACGTATCTTGTTCTAAATGCGGTCTTCTCAATATCTTGTTCTCTCACTTTCAGCTGATTATATCCTGACCCGAGATCGATCTTTGAGAAATAGTTTGAACCTTGCAGCAGATCGAATAAGTCTTCAATCCTTGGCAACGGATACTTGTCCTTTACCGTTACCTTGTTCGGCTCTCTATAGTCTATGCACATCCTTATGCTTCCATCCTTCTTCTTTACGAATAACACTGGAGCTCCCTAGGGTCATGAACTAGGTCTAATGAAACCGTTTTCCAACAACTCCTGAAGTTGCATCATAAGCTCCTTCATATCTATTGGTGCTAATCGGTATGGTGCTTTTGCTATTGGTGTCGATCCTGGCAACAAGTCTATTGGAAATTCTTCTTTTCTATCAGGGGGCAATCCAGGAAGATCTTCGGGAAAGACTTCTGGATAGTCACACACCACTGTTATTCTTTGTATCTCATTCTTCTCCTTCTTTGCATCGATCACAAATTCCAAGTATGATGTGCATCCTTTGGAAAAACATTTTATGGATTTCATTAGGGAGATGGTTCCAGAGTTAACTCTACGTTTTCCCCCATACACCATAAATGACCCACTTCTAGGTGGGTTTACTCTCACCATCTTCTTCCTGCATAGTATCTCGACATCGTTTGCACTAAGTCAATCCGTTCCCAGCACGATTTTGAAATCGTTTAAATCAACGGGCAACAACTCCTCATGTAATTTATTCCTATTCAAGTCGATGACGATGTTTGTAGTGCAATCGCTAACAGATATGAATTTGCCATTGGAAATTACTACAACTAGATCATTATCAAGTTTATCCATAGGCAATGCTAGTCTTTCACCAAATTTGTACAATACAAAGGAGTAGTTTGCTCCCGAATCAAACAATATATTGGTAGGAAATTTGTTTACAAGAAAGGTACCTAAAGCGACATCTGTTACATCCCTTGCTGCTTCCAGCTTCATCTAGAAAGCTCTCGCCTTCGGCCTCAGTGGAATGTTGGGCCTTTTTTCCTCCTTCTTCTTCGGATAGTCTTTAGAAATGTGCCCTTCTTCTTTACATCCATAGCACACCCTCTTGTTGGTATGCACTTATTGGCGTAGTTCCTAGTCTTTTTAAACTTGTAGCAAGTCACTTTCTCGCTACATTTCCCGAAGTTTTTAGTTTTACACTTCTCGCACCACTTGGCCTCGCCTCTTCCTCCTCCTCCTCCTCCAAATTTCATCGAACCAGACTTAGAGAATTTGTTATTCTTGTTGGACCTTGAAGGTCCATCGAACTTCCTTTTCTCACCAACCTCAGCTCTCTCCAGAACTTTTTCCCTTATCTTGATCTCAACATTCTTACTTTCCCAGATGGCGGCTTTCAAAGTGGTTGCTTGCTTGACCACAGGACCAAAGTCCACTGGTAATCCGTGGGCAAACTTGTTGACCTTGGAGAGTTCAATTGGAACTAGGTAAGGAACAAGCTTCATCTTCTCCGTAAAACTTGCAACATACTTGGTGATGCTCATTCTTCCCTTCCTCAGGTTCTGAAAGTCATTGTTAATTTCAAGAAGATTCTGCTCAGAGAAGTACTACATTTTTAGTTGCACTAGGAAATCTTCCCAAGACATCTTGCTAACTTCTCCCTTGAGCATCGTATATGCTAGTAGCTTCAACTATCTCAGTACTCCAGATTTTAATAGAGGAACTGCAAGAGTAATCTTTTGTATGTTCCTACAATTGTAAATCTCAAACATTGTCTCTATCTTGGAGATCCAATCCATACTTCCACTGGTATTGGGCTTCTAGAATGACATAGTGGTTTAGATGCCATGAAATACTTGTATTTGTACCCACGTCCATTATTTCCTCCACTGTGTTGGTTTTGAAGGGTTTTGAGCATTCTAAAACTCCTATGGTGTACATGCAACCCTAGATGCTTTGGATATACATTTTTCTCTAATATAGATGAAAACTTTGTTTTTCCAGAGCATCATCCTAACTAGCATACAATGGAGTATCTTTACTACAAAATTCTTGTTAGATGACATATTTTGTTTTAGTTGGAAGCCTTGGTCCTTTAAGAAATTAGTGCCCCAAGTGTTTCACCTCAAATGGAATCACAAAACACCTAAGACAAAGGATGACTTTTGCAAGAGTTTCTTATGCTCCAAAAATCGACTCCTAGATTCCTATGATCACTAGTCCACCTTTTTGGATGCTAAGGGGCTTCTTATATAGTGTGGCAAGATTAGGGTTACACCATGTAAACCTTAATGGTCATGACCTTCCATATTCCTTAGGATCCATGGGTTGAAACCTCCATGGATTATCCATGGTTTTTCACATGGGTTTAGCCCAACCTAAGGAATCATGGATCATTGGCCCACACCATAAGAATGAATGACTCACCAGTCAACCCCTTATATTTAATTAGTGTCTTTCTGATCACAGAATTAATTCCAAATTAATTCTTGATCAATAGTAATTAAATTATATTATTTCATATTAATATATTAGAACTTATAATATATTAACAAATCATAAATAACCTCTTCTCAAAAGTCTATCCTATCAAATTGTCCTGGTGATATGCAACCCAAATGGACCATGCAAGTCTCGGATCAAGTACACACCAATAATAATTATGG